GTGTGTGAGATTTGGGATGGCCATCACATGTTAGTGGGGTGACCTAGAACGTGAATTGACTTATATCTAGTTGACTTTGCTCGTGATGAGTCTCCCCGCATTGTTTGAAATAAAAAAAAAAAACAAAAAAAATGAAATGAAAAAAAAAATGTGTATACCTATTTGGTTCATCTTATACTTTTATTCGAAACCTAATTGACTCGAGTCATTAAGCCCGAGGGACTTCTCATAACCTGGTGCCTATGGTCATCTGACTTGGGTTAACCGACCTTAAACTCGCTACAAGGGTCAATTTAGTCGATTAATGGACAAGAGTCTGCACATAAGATGTAGTTTATTAGAAGAGTGACATAAAAATTACATACTCATATTTAGGGAGAGAAAATAAAATTAGTTATGAACTTGAGCCCATTTTCAGATCCTAAAATTTCATTTGGGTTTGACTTTCGTTGGTAGGGATCATACTTAACAGTGACGTTTGTATGTCATTTCTCACAAATTTAAGGTTTGAAGTCATTCTCACAAGAAAATAGCAGCACTTTACATGCATGAGTCATTTGTGCACTTTACTCCATCTTGAACCTTATTGAGTACGTGGGAAAATCTTTACGGATAATGCTTGACTTGTGAATGTATGCATGGTTGTGATCATCGGGTTGACAAGAGTTTAATTTTTTTTTTAAAAAGGAAGGGGGAACAAAATTGCTTACTTTGTTCAATTTAAGTATTATTAAAAAAAAATTGATGCTATTTTTCTTAATTTTTAAAATTGAACTGTTATTTCTGTCAATTCAATTTTTGCTAGCCTATCGTCAGAACTCGATCGAGCGATAGTAGTAGAAACGGCCTCGCTCGCTTATCGCTCGACCTTCGCTCGAGCGACATGGCGTAAATTTGAATTTTAATGTTTTTTTTCAGGATTTTTCGCATTTTTCTCACTTTTCTCTCTCAATTCCTTCCTAGATTCTCAAACTCACATCATTTTTGTGGTTAACCCACACTTTAAACATTCCAAATCACTTCTTTAAGGTGTCATTTCATTGGATCACCGAATTTCGAAGGTAAATCTCTACAACCCTCAATTTTCTTCTTTTTTTTTTCTTTCAATTTTCTTTGTTTTTTTATTTCCGAACATTATTACTTCAATTGTTGGGCCTTACACTTCATGTTTTATGCATTCTCATACATTCTCATCTCATTTTGCACATTTTGACAACAAAAAATTGGATTTTTGGGGGTTTTCCCGCGAATTCTCGGTTTGTTCTTCATTCTTTTGGATTATTTGGTTGTTTGTGGCGTGTTGTGTTGTGTAAGGTGTTTTGAATGACATGGTGGATTAGGTTCGTTGGTGGTTTGAATTGTTGTGTTGGGTTTTGGAGTTATGAAGATGTCGCATGTTCTCCTTCAATTTTTAGATATAGATTTTTTATGTTGTTTGAATTTGTGGTGAGTTGATTGAGAGGTTTGGGTTGAATTTAGGTTCAGTTCGAAGTGTTGGTGTTGTGTACTTTGAGGTTGGAGTTGATATCGTCACCGCGACATGTTGTCACGATACGCGTCATGTCTTCTCGCCACCTACGTCTAGGCATTACGACTTTTTGTTGAACATTCCTTCTAGGACACGGTGCATTTACCCTCTTTGCCTTGTTTTGCATGATTTTATGCATCTCTTGCATATCATATCGTGGTTTTGATATTTTTGGGTTTACTCATTTCAGATGTCGCCTAAGAGAGCTCGATTTACCGCTCCGAAGCTTGGTACCTCCACTTCCTATAGTAGGTCTAGGTTCGTCTCTGCGGTTGCCCAAGATACATTTGGTTCGTAGTTTTCTTTACGCCCTATTTTATTTGAGCGTGAAGTCATTCTGTTTGACTTGTAACCTGACCTCGCTGCTATTTTCACTTCTCGGAGATGGGAACCCTTATTGGTCGAGTTGACGCCTCTCCCTAGCCTACTTATTCACGAGTTCTATGCTAAGATTCATGATGTTAGTGGCTATTCTTTTAGGGTATTTCTTCAGGGTAGGATGATTAGGATCACTCCCGACGTCATATCGAGTCTTGTTCACATTCTTAGGGTTGTTTACCTCGTCATTTCCGTATCTGTCCGTTGAGACTCTTCCATTGGACTCTCTAATCCATTCAACGGTGTTTAACACACCGTTTGAAGGTGGTCCAGGTGCGATTTTGTTGCATGTTGTGTGTACTAATCTATGGCCCGTGTCGCATACCTATTGAGAGGGCTCAATTTTTGTACGCCTCGCTGCATGGCGATTCGATTGATCTTCTCACATTTATTTGCCATTAGATTCTTCGAGCTTTCAGGGTTACGGGGACTGGGTGGAACTTTCCTACGCCTATCTTATTTATCGACACCCTTAGGCGTTAGTTTTCCAAAGGAGGTTTCTCGGTCGATTGGCCACACTACTTTTGCTCAGAGTAGGTCTCATGCTTCTTATGAGCCGTACAACCTGTTGACCTGACTGTGCCTACTGATCCTATAGATAACCTTATATCTTTTGATCCCTCGGATTTACCTACGTTTTCCTCGGCTCCTCCACCCACTGATATTTCATCTTCATCTATTTCTGCTCTTCCTTCCGCTGAGCCTACTCTTCCACCTACTGATATTCTTTATGTGCCCATTGACCCGTCCGTTGCACTTATGGGTCAGATGACTGTGTTGATTGAACAGCAGACTCATATGATGGCGGAGATTACCCATTGCGTGCTACAGTTGATCGACACACTATCGAGTTTGCTATGCTTTGGGGTACTGTTGCACGTGTTCAGCGTGGGCTACGATGGATTCGTCGTCACTGGGATGATGATGCCACTTCGGAGGAGAGGATCGATTCTGACGATGCAGCCGGTGCTGATTAGTTTTGTTGGATACCCCTTGTCATTTTGTGACAAAAATGGGGAGTAGTTAGGTTTTTTTTTTTTTGATATAGTAGATATTTTGCGTTTAAATAGATGTATATATTTTTTTATTTACTCGATGTATCTAAAATTTTTTGAGGTTGATGATATAAAATATTCAGTTCTGCTAATTTAAGTTTGATGTTTTAGTAGTATCAATGTGTCTTCTTGGTATGTTGGGTTGTATTGGTACTATGTCTTGATTTAGCATGCATGATTGAAACTGAATAATACCATATGTTTCTAGATTGCCTATATTTTATAAATTGCTTGAATTGCTTCACTTATACTGTTTTTCACATATTTCACACTGGGTCTTGAGCTGTCTATTTCAGGAAACAGGTGCTAATTAAAATGCAGAATTTGTTTAAGTCAGTTAGTTGTATCATAGGTTTTTGAGTCTGTAATTT